CTAGCTTGGATCAAAACGAGGAGGACCACGGCAATCTTCATAGGAATCCATCATCAAATAATTGCCGCTGGTTAGGTTTCAGCTGCGGAATGAGTTCCGGTTGGGGCAGCCGGAGCTGTACAAGCAAGCTGATAGGGACGATCCCAAAGCTCTGAAGAATGTTGAGTTTGGAAATTGATTTTTGTTTTAATGTTGAGTTTGATAGTCTGTATAGATTGAACTCTGAAGAATGTGAGGATTGATTGAATTGCAGGGGAAGAATTTAGGCAAGCTAAAGCTGTATTGTTTGTTAGTTTTTTAAAAAATTTAAGGGAATTGAATGTCCTCGCGAACCCAGGCTCTTGGGTTCGCCTAGAGGTAAAAGAAAAAAAAGAAAGGCTGGAGGAAGGAGAAGCTGAGGAAGAAGATGAGGGTATATCAGTAATTAAAAGTAAAAAATTTAACATTTCATTAATTTTTGACACATGGATTTTCCACGTCATTTCGTAAAGAAAAAGAACAAGTGTTTCCGTTAATTAACGTGACAAGTCAGCAAAATTTTAACGGAGGGACTAAAAAGGGGCCGTATTTGTGAACAGTGAGGACCAAAAAAGGGATTTTTTCGGTACAGGGACCAAAAGGGGCTTTTTCTTATAGTAGAGGGACCAAAAAGGGTATTTAACCTAATGAATTTTAACAATAAGGTCAGTGTTGCTGAAATTTTGATGTAATTCTCCGGTTGGGGTGAGTGCCCTAAACTTTCAGCAACAAGGAGCATATTGCTAGAAGTCACTTTCAGCAACATGCTCCTTGTTGCTGATACCTTTATAGCACCCACACCCCTAAAAAAGTGAGATTAACTTTCAGCAACAAAGGGCATGTTGTTGAAAGTTAATATCAGTAATAAGAACTATGTTGCTGAAATTTTGATGTAATTCTTTGATTGGGTGAATGGCCAAAACTTTTAGCAACATGCTCCTTGTTGTTGATACATCCATAGCATCCAAACCCCAAAAAAGTGAGATTAACTTTCAGTAACAAGGGGTATGTTGCTGAAAGTTAATATCAGCAATAAGAACCATGTTGTTGAAATTTTCTAGTGAACTAAAGTATTACCAATATATACCATATTGCTATTAATCATTGACCAGTAGCTAGTCCCCTTCCCAACCAATAATCAGCAACATGGGTCATATGTTGGTGAAAGTGAGACAATTGCAACATGTTGCTGAAAAAGACTTTGATTGGTAGCTTTTTCTCCCATTATATATACACCTTTCTCATACTAATATATATACTTCCACACTTGTTAATTTCTTGCTATTTGTCCTTTACTCTTGCAATTCACTTTTTTTTATCCCCACATAATTATTTTTATATTATAATTTAAAAGTAATAACTTTTATAAATTTCAAAACTCTTTTTTCTGTTGCTTAATAGAGAATCAACAATATTTTGATAGCCAATTAAAAAGTCAAGAATATCTTGACAACCGATTGGAAAGTTAAGAATATTTTGACAACCAATCGGAAAGTCAAAAATATTTTGATAGCAAATATGATGGCATAACTTCTTCTTTTTTTTTTTTTTGTTTCCTCCCTTATGTCTCATTTCACATTCGTGCACCCCATTTACTATTATATTACTTAACTTTATGTTATTTTACACAAGAGTTGTTGAGGCTACTCTTGAATCATTTTGGAATTGCCCATCTCAAAGTCCTCCCAAGGGAAAGTTGAAAAAAGCAAGGAATAATATATCAATTGACCAACACATTCTATTGGCTAATATTGTAGACTACTATGTTTGTCAAATATGTGATACTCTTAGACATTTAGCTACAGTTTGCTCACACCAATATACTATAACTTGTCAACTGTGTACCTTTGAGGGTCATATTGCAAAAATTTGTCCTAATTGTTACCGATCACCATCTGTATCAATCCATCCAAAACCCTTGCAGAGTCCTCAGAAACAATTACAAAGATTTTTGGTAATGGTAAGTGTCTTACATTTGAAAAAAAGTATTGGAATGCTGCTCTTCAAAAATTACGATCTATTCAAGAATCGTAATATCATTGTCTTACTTTTGTTTTTCAATAAATTTTCTAATTTTCCTTGTTCTCTTATGATTATGCAGTATATTTTGACATTACAACATTTATTAATGATTTTCACGTTGTTCTTAAGTCTATTGTTGAGATTTTACATGAAATTCTTTTACGAACCCTCATAGTCCAAGAGTCCAATCTTACATATTAGAGTCGATTCTAAAGGATTCAAAGTCAACTCTTATAATTGAGAGTTGACTCTAAAGCAACTAGAGTTGAATCTACATATGTAGAGTCAACTATGAGTTGAACAGGATGAATTCCTTGCTTATTGGAATTTGGTAGTCGACTCTTCACATCATAGTGTTGACTCTAAAGCAACTAGAGTCGAATCTATATATGTAGAGTCGATTATGAGCTGAATTGAATGAATTCCCTGCTTACTGGAATTTGGTATTCGACTCTTTACATCATATAGTCGAATCTACATATGTAGAGTCAACTATGAGTTGAACTGAATGAATTTCCTGCTTACTAGAATTTGGTAGTCGACTCTTGACATCATAGAGTCGACTCTAAAGCAACTAGAGTCGAATATATATATATATATATATATGTAGAGTCGAATATATATATGGAGAGTCAACTATAAGCTGAACTAAATGAAATCCCTGCTTACTGGAATTTGGTAGTCGACTTTAAAGCAACTAGAGTCGACTCTACATATGGAGAGTCGACTTTGAGCTGAACAGAATGAATACTTGCTCGACTTTGGTAGTCGACTCTTTATATAATAGAGTCCACTCTAAAGCAAATAAAGTAAATCATCAAAATCCATCAACTTTTCTCCCCATTTCAAATTTGGATAAAAAAGGGACACAAGCATAACAACCAAAGCTCCCCTTAACACATGCAAATTCCAGAGAGTTGAGAACCTTGGGGTTGTTGGGTGTAGTCAACTCTTGATTGAAAAGAGTCAACTTTTAATGGAAAAGAGTCGACTGTTAGTTTTAAAAAGTCAACTATTGGCAAATTAAATATTAGGATATTTTTATGTGAAATGGTTATGTAACTTCATATGCATGTCCACATTTTTTTTAGATAAAATAGAGTTTTTAATTATTTCAAAATGTTAATATATAATGTAATTATATATATTAATTTGACAAGTGTTAAATAAAATTTAATAGATTAAACAAAATCAACTAATAAATTAAAATTTAGATATAAATTATATTTTTTTAAAGATTAACAATTAATTAAAATATAATCATTTTTTTCATTTAGTAGTGTGGCTGGCGACAATAGTAATGATTTAAAGTTTTAGCAACATGGTACATGTTAGTGATGAGTGGTGGAGTTGAAATTCAAATAGGATTTAACAACATGGAGTATGTTTTTGATAGGGTGGTAAACTTTCAACAGCATAATTCTATATTGCCGAAAGTTCTTTATATGCCAACTACCCCTCTCAACCATCTCCATGCTTTTCTACGGATCTCATGCCTTCCTTAGTTTTCTCCTGACGCGTGCAGCCTGCTGCACCATCATCTCAACTGCGTGCAGGCCTCTCCTCCCCAGCCCTCTCAGCCATCTCCAATCCATGCATGCGTTTTTGCAATTCTCCCGCACATCCTCTCATGCCCTCCTTTCTCATGCCCTCTTTTCTCATGCCCTCCTTTCTTTTCACATGGCCTGTTGCATGCACCATCATTTGATTTAGATCTTCTCCCCAGATCTCCTGTTGCACCATCATCTGATCTACGCACCTTGATCTAGATCTCCTCCTCAGATCTCTCTCAGCGTCTTTTTTTTTTTTTTTCCTTCTTTTAGTGCAGGTCCTCCATATTTATATATGTAGATCTAATCACCCATGCCATTTTCATCATTACTTGTTCTCTGTTATCATTAAATGTATATATGAATATATAATTGAATAAATTTCATTAATTAATTTAATTCCTTGCAGCATATTGTATGAAATTTTTTTGTGAATATTACATTATTAAGTAGGTATTAATTTATTTGAAGCTTAATATATTTATAAATAATTATATATAGTAATTAATAATTTTGTTATTTTGTTTGTTTTATAAGTAATTCTTAATTAATAAAGTAAAAAATTCAAGTTTGGTAACATAACTAATCAAACATTAATTAACTTAAGTCATTTAATTTAAATTTATTATGTTAAAATTTATTAAAGTATCTAATTAATAAACATTTATTATCTTGTTTTAGTTTTTTCATATATATAATTAATTATATTATATATGAAATATTAAGAGATTTAATATTTGATAATTATAGAAAAAGAAAATTTTATATTTAAATACAATGATATTTTTAAATTTAATGCTGTTACTATAAAATTAATGTAATATATTTCTTATTATAAAAGTGGAAATAAAAAATATGTGTTTAGAATATTGGTAGGTATAATTTTTTTTTATCATGAATTTTGCTACATCACCAATAAGAGGTATGTTGCTGAAAATGTAGTGGGTGGAATTAAAATAAAAATCAGCAACAAGAACTATGTTGCTAAAAATAAGGAGATATGCTATTCACCCTACTATGAGCAACAAGGAACATATTGCTGATAATGGCTATTGTCACCAACATGGTTCTTCTTACTGAAAATTGAAAATCAGTAACAAGAGTGATGTTGCTGAAAATTAAGGAGCCACACCCTTTCAAACTTTTAGCAACATTAATTATGTTGTTGAAAATATGGTTTTACAAACTTGAACCATGTTGGTGAAACCATGCAATCAGCAACAAGGGACCACACCTCCCCTCAAACTTTTAGCAATAAAAGCCATGTTGCTGAAATCATGTTTTCAGCAACATGGCTTATGTTGGTGAAACTACCCCAAGGATCTCACCGTATATGATTGCTGGAAGTTGGCAAAATTTTTACCAACATAAGCTACATTGTTAAAATTTTGGTTTCAACAACATGGTTTTCGTTGTTGAAAATATCCACAAAAATCACTGGAATCTTCATCAAAATTTGGCAAAATTTGGTAAAATTTTTAGCAACATAAGGCATGTTGCTGAAACTATATTTTCAGCAATGTGCCTTGTGTTGTTGATACATCACCAACAAAATTCTTGTTGGTAATGTATCACCCACCAAAACTTTTCCAACAAAGCTATTAGCAACTAGAGTTATGTTGCTGAAGGAGTTTCAACAACATGAGAATCACTTTCAGCAACATGAAAGCATGTTGTCGAAGATAGGAAATTTAGTAGTGAGGTTAAAATTTAGCTAACACAAGACTAGTGAAAATCTAAAAAGGACCACCAAAGTACCCAAAACAGAGAAGGAAAGAGAATCTTCAGGGAAAGGCGCCTTCAACCAATTGAGCAAGTATGTGTATGGTTAACACAATAATATTATAGCTACATAAATTGTAAAATATTACCTTTAAAATATTAAATTTATTTAACTTAATTAATAAAAATATTTAATAATTATAATTATTAATAGATAATTGATAAAATAATTTATATTTATTAATTAATAAATTAATATGTTCAAATATTTTTTTAAAAAAATCAAATTTTTGTGACCTTAATGTTGATATTATACGTAGCAATAACTATAACCTCTAATGAATTTAATTAAATTCCCATGGCACCAATCCCAGTATTCGAAAGCACGTACTTAGCTGGTTCTAGTAACCAATCTGACAAGCTGAAACTACATCGATCCTTTTGCTCGTTTTAACCAATGGAATGCCCTCAATTTTACAAGCTTAAAACCCTTTCCTTATATTCAAGGGCTAAGAGGAGGGCGAATGAGATATGTCCAAGACACTCTTGTAAATTGAGGAAATTTTGGGATAGAACGGGAAAGAAAAAAAGTTTGGAGATCTCATTATGTTTAAAACTTGACTCAAAAAAGAAATGACAAAGAAAAATGAGAGGACTATTTTATATCATATATAATTGATTATTAAATGTAGTATAAAAAAAAGGTTTATGTAAAATATTCATTGACATAAATTTCATTGATATTGATACGTGGCTCCAATTTTAAACCATTCTGAACCCTCCTTGCACAAGCCCTTTCCTTTTTTGAAAAAATTTTTTATCAACAAATGAAAATTTTTATTAGAATGATGGTGCCAGAGTTACATTCTCAGCAAAAAGCTCAAAAACAACAGAGCCCATCAAATTGAAAGAAGGACCGGAGAACACCAAACTGAAAAACATCAAGCACATAAAACTAGGGTGGCTTGCATTTCCATCAAGGTTGTGCGAGCTTATTTTCTTCTCTGAAGTTATTTGCTGTCCGGACAGTGCCAAAGTCATATTGCAAATGCTCGGCCTTAATCATTTAATCCTACAGCTACCAAATGCAACACATGGGAGTAATATTAATCACGTTCTACAGCAGAAGGAATGGAAACCTAGTATTACTTTCTTTCAACAATTTTCTTTTCCTTTTGGCATCTTAAAATTATCTAAATACAAAGGATGAGCGACAGACTGCCAAACAGCGAAGCAATGACTGAAGTAACTACGGAAATGATGATTGTCCTTGTTGTGTTGCTTCCTTCTGCTGCAACGCCGCTTTTTTCGTTCGGGTTGTTTTCATTTCCTGTGGAAGGCATTACAAACAAAATTGAAAGAATGAATTTTCTTCTACTAGCACCGAATACAAAAGGGATCAATGCAAATGGTGAAATAGGTACCTTCTGGTGGAGGAGGTGAAGACGGTGCATCTACGGTAACATATTCACCGTCAAAAAATTGGCCAATCTCGTATCTTAAGTTACAGCTGGGTTGCAGAATTCTGCATCCGGATCTATTATAGCAGTAATTTTTCATCCTTTCATCGGCCATGGCCTTCTCTAGACAATCGCTGCAATTTTGTTTGGACAGATCCGGGGTACACTGCACTAGGGCGTAAATTCCTGAAGGAGAAACCGAGACCTTCGTTACACCGGCTGCATACTTGAGCGTAGGACCTCCGGTAGCCGCGCTGTTGCTTAAATTTTTCAATAAGAAACTCAAGTTCCGGTAAAAACCATCAGCATCAGTTTCATTATTCAGACTCCATATTTCACCCAAAGGATCAGTTTCCATAACTCCGTATATTGATCGGTTTGAGTAGCGTAAAGTACAGAATTCCGACCACCCGATTGCTTCTTTTTTGTTGGTACAGTTTTGTTGGAGCGCTTCGGTGGTGTTTTTCAGGCAACTTCTGCAGATGTCCTCCTTTTTGTCTCCCCTGCAGAGTGCAATTGCGTTGACCTGGTCAGGGCTCTGGCCAACGGACACATTATAGAACCCCTGATTGAAATCCTGATCGACGAGTTTGGAGAAGAGAAGATTGAGGTTGTCCTCGTAGGTACTGCTAGTGATGTTGCTGCTATCACAACTGTTCCGAAAATCAGCAGCAATTTCGGCGGAGGAAGTGAGATTTATGTGAAAAGCAGAGGAAATTAAGAACAGAA